ACAGTAACATGGTGGTCAGGAGACAGTTTACAAAGGTATTTTTTATAGTTATAAATATCAATATGCTTATAGATGACTCATGAGCTCAACTCAAATTAATGGACTGAACAATAATTGAAAAATAATTTAAATTTAATATAGTATTTGTACAATAATTAAATCCCAGTTTGCATATAACATTTTTTAAAGTGTACCACATACTCAAGAATTGATTCTGCATTTACAGATACAGCAGGATATGGGGATTCATCCTAGGAAAAATTCTTCTTCTTGTACTACGAATCTGGTATACTTCGCTCAACCCAGTCTGGAGCTCACAAACTGCCAACATGGTCATATTGATCATAGGTTTCATAGCAGCAGCTGACCGAATTTTTACAGGTAAATGTTATAGTAAAAAAATTCTTATAAAAATAATTATAAAAATATTTAAATCTCAGTGCTGAAGATAGGTACATTGTTTCATGTAAAATCAGTTATTGAGTCTTTGTGCATGAATACATTTGCATTCTCTAGAACTTGCACAATATTTTCTCCCATGCATTGGCTATCAGGATTAGCTGCTTAATAATGAGGGGTTTTCTTCCTTTACGAGCACTGGCCATTGCTATGGAAACCTGGCTGCAGGCTCCCAGCCATTCCCCTTCCCCCTGGAACCAACAGTGAACTTCTGTTTGGTCTGGGGTAATGCTGTAACTCAGAATGCTTTGCAAAAATTGTTCTGAGTTAGAGCTGGAAGCTGCACTTCACTGTGCACCCCTCAGGTCAGCCATTATTCAGTCTCTTCTCTGGCATTTTGAAGCTGAGCCATTAATAGGCTATAAATAGATGCTGCAACTGTCTCAGGAAAAAGCATTTTGTACGAGGATCCTACAGACCTACAGGTCCACTGTTCCACTTCAAGTCCCTCTGAAGTACGTGGGATAAAATATGCTAATATTTTTTCATAGGGCAGAGTTATGTGCGTCTGTAAGATTACTACAGGTCAAGCTGGCAGGCTACATGCTCTTTCTGGTCACCTATGGGCATAAGAGCAGTAGTGCAGCTTAGAAGGGTGTTGTGTAAATCAGTGTTTCTCAACCTGTGGGTCATGACCCATAAGTAGGTCTCAAGACTATCTGACAAGGTCCCAAACAGGCACAAGAAATGCAGGAAAATGCAGGTTTCCCATTGCAAGCTGGCAGCCTTCCAGTCTGCAAGGAGCTGCTTATGGTGATTGGAGGCACGGGGTGCCATGTGTGTCTGTGCGCACACACGCACATGGCTGGCATGCAGCCAGGCAGGGTGGTCAGAGCAGCCCTGGCAGCTGGATGCAGGTAAGTGTATGGGGAGTAGAGGTTGGAGGGCCAGGGCTTGGGAGCTGTCAGGGGGACTGTGGAAGGAGGGGGGCAGTATGTGGGGAGGTGTGTAGAGGGGATGGGTATGTGAGTTGGTTGGGTGCCTGCTGGTACTGGAGGAAGGTGGCCGGGCACTGGGGCTGTGGCAGGGTGGGGGAGAAGGCACCTGCCCCTCCAGTGGGGGAAGGGCGTGGGGGGGGGCCTT